TATTTATTTATTTATTTATTTATGTTTAAATATTTTAAAAAGTAACGTCTCTCACTCTTTATGTAAATATAGTAGCTCTCACTCCAGTCGCTCCACAGTGAAGACTCTCCCAGACGGGAGCGTCGGACCTGGGTTGTGTAGTTGATGCTGTGCTGCAGATCCAGAGACACTCTTCGCTGCCCACGAACAGACACCACCTGGAGTCAGAGGAAGAGAAAACTGACCTAAAGCTACATGTGGCTAATATCTGGTGCTGTTTTCACTGAACTGTTACCAAACCACACAAAACTGACTTACAAACATTCCAGAGTGTGCATACTTTATGAACGTTCCCGGTAGTGTAGGGTTGTTAGCGGAAGGTTGTGCTGCATAAAGGCAGCAGTGTTGGGTAAGAAGGCAAATATAAACTGTATTTGTGGGTACACATAGCAAAAACAGTCCATGAATTTGTCCAGCCTTCCCCAAAATGGGAAGTACATATGGAGTACATATGGAGTTACTGATCCACATATAGTATGTATGAAAAGAAGGCCCATGTCAGTGGACGTTAGAACAAGGTCACGTCCTTTCATTAATCTTTTAAGTGTAAATTGCAAATAGAGACGTTTTTTATATAGTGTTTTGTTTATGTATATGAACAAAGTGACTCTTGATCCACCCTGCTCTATGTATAATTTAAATATTTACCTGCCAGTCCGGGTGTGTTCTGTTGAAAGAGTATCGGACCTCGTATCTCATCAGGTCAGTAGCAGGGTCATACTCTGCATCATTCCACATTAAAATCAGTTCTGGTTGGATGGTCTGGACATGTGACAGGTTGACAGGAGGACTGGGTTTCCCTGCAGGCAGAGAAAAAAAAATCATGTTAAGAGTCTTCATCTTGCAACCCTCGAATCGCAAGCCTGAACCGTTAATGGTGTGAAAAAAAAACGAACATCAGCTACAGTTTCATATACAGCATGTTGGGAGTTGTTCTCTGCCAAATAATGTCAAAATCAATTGAGATAAACATTATTTTTTAGAAGATTTTTTTTCTCTTGCCAGGTAAGAATATTATTTGGTTTCAATAGACAAAAGTACAAACTGGCATCACAGTTCTGTTCAACAGCTAAAGAAACTTCTTTATATATAAAAAAAAAGACAAACTCTGACCAGGTTGTGCAGGTATTCTCAGGTAAACCGGCTGAGAGCTGATGTTGTCGGAGATGCTGACGACTTCCACGGAGATGAAGGTCGGTGTGGAGTCCAGAACAACAGAACAAATAATGGAATCATAATCTTCACAAACAACAGGTTTATGAGACACACTCTCAGCCTGTGATCCCCCGTTCTGGGACCTGGGGAGACGGGAGAAGAGGGGGTCGGAGAACAGCATTACTTTGGTCGTGACATTTCTGTTGACACTACATATTACGGCATGGATTTCTGAGCAGCATGGAGACAAGTGAAGACATACAAGAAGTTACAGTCTAGAACAGTATGTGGGATTAGGACCAGGCCTCTACTGTTATTATTGGTTGTAATAATAAGAAGAAGAATTTGAACTTTATTGATCTCATATTTGGAAAATTCTTGTGTTAACAGAGCAGATCTGCCCCTGGCAGGCACCAAGCGTGTAGTTACTCTGGGAATCAAACCCAGGACTCTCTGATCTCTACTTCCAAGACAGGCATTATTATTTTAAAAAAATTAATTAATTTAAAGGTAAATTCATTTGGGAGTTTTTCCATCGAGTGATGTATGTACTAAGACATTTACAATACATCAGAATAATCCTCCAAGGATCATCTGCATTGAAAAAAAAAAGACCAAACCAACAATTTTTAGTTTTCTCTCCCATCTTGTCAGTAATTCTTTTTTCCTGTTTCACACTAAAAGAAGCCAGTCTAAATGTCATGCTATATTGTTTGTGTGCAGCCAATAAAATCTATTTTTTGCATTTATGAACAACAGTGCAGGTTGGTACTCACACACGCTGCAGGCTGATGGCCATACGACCTGCCTCCCTGCTGGTTGACGTCGGGCCGTTGGACGTCAGCTCACATGTCAATTTTTCCCAGCTTTCATCAAGCCTGCACAGTATGTCCAGACAGATGCCTGACAAGAAATGACACATTGATGTTAGGTGGCACAGTCTGTGGCATCCCACAGATGATGTTGCATAAATTCTGAATTACCCCTCCAGAGGGGAGGGGTAATTCAGAATTTAAGCAACATCATCATCTCCCTCCCCCTGAGAAAATTAGCCTGTCTCAATGTTCTGAGAATTACACCTCTGGGAGAAATATTGCAGATGACGCACAGAATACTTTCCTCCAGCCAAGATACACGATTGGAATGATGTCAAACACAATTGTATATTGGCACTCAAAGATTCAGGGAATTTGAAGGGTGTTTATAGCACCATCTACTGAGTAGTTAGTAGGACACTTGAGCTTGGTGTTCACTAAACTAATTTAAACAATTAAATAAATAAAAAGAAGAAAACAAATCTAACATGCATCACAAAAAGGAGGAATGAGAAACAAGGTCTCATAAGCCATCACAAAAAGGAGGAATGAGAAACAATCAAATGTCAATAGGTCTCATAAGGCAGCGAGGAGGAGGAGGAGGAGGTCAGGTCTTTAATGCCTCTCTGTAATTACTGCTCCACTGACATTCACACAGGTCAGGCACCACTGATCTAAATGTGACATCGCCCTAAAGATCAATTTGACAATATAATCATAACCACTGTGTCATCTCACCCGTGCCTCACCCACACACACGTCTCATGCCTATGACGACTGGTGGCATTAAACTGGAAGTAAGGTTCCACCATAAACAAACAAACAAAGGTCTCTCTCAGCAGGACGGTAGGACACTAGAGTTGTCCCATGCCTTACACAAAGAAGGTCCTAGGTTTGAGCCCCAGGGACCACATACTTGGCACCTGAACCAAAGGAGAGACTGCCCCTTACTTTATCTTATGAATGAAATTGAGTTAAGTTTTGCAGTATCGTCGTGTCATCCTTAAGGGATTCAGATAGATAGATTGATAGAACCCTCTGTTAAAGACCTCTGCACTAAAGGAACCTGCTTGAAAAGCAGTGATAACATAGTTTCCTAGGAAAAACAGAAGGTTTTTTTTTTTTTAAGATTTTGTTAAAAACGAGTGTATGGGTTCCAAACCTTTGGTAAATTCCTCGGGTATCAGGGTTAAAAAATGAAGGAAGCAGAATCCAAACCTTTGGTAAATTCCTCGGGTATAAGGGTTAAAAACCAGCCCAGGAAGCAGAACTGGGGCTTTATAACGTGAATAGCAGCTACTTTTGTACTGACTGAAAGAAAAGTAACATTCTGTTCTCTTTGCACAGAACAAGCCTCGCCAGCTTGCTAACAATGATCTACTCCTGAAGGGATGAACAAAACAAAATCTACTTAAATGTAATGAGCCAATCAGGATGATCTTTGCGGATCACCTGTGTCACTAACAGGTGATGCTGCCGCTGTGGTCACATACCTGCTGTTTTTGTCCGGAGCAGGAGCCACATCAAACAGCATGTCGACTAAGGAACAAGGTCATCGCTTTTTATAGTTCTTAGAAGCAAACATGTTTACGTTCTCATGTTCTCATGTGGAGACGTGATACAGCCCAGTGGGGAGCATGATTTGCTTATAAACTCATTCTCCGAATCTTATATTCTCCTTTTAATCATTTACTTGCGATGTCTCTGATTTAGACTTGGCACATCTCCAACCACCGACACCAGAAGTGTCTACTGAAAAGCTGATTCCCCAACACCTTGATATTTAACCAATATATTTTAATCTAATTCATGAGTCATCAGAGATTTAATCAGGGGCCCAGTGCTGCTACTAATGAATGCACAAGCAGCACAGACAGTATTTCAATCTCTAATATTTATATATTTTATAGGTAATTTCTCATCCTCAGTCTGTACCTTATTTAATATAAAATACAAAAATGTAAATATACTAAAATACAAAAAGAGTTTTCTTGTAATACGACCGTTCAACTGAAAATTCGCGACGGTGTTGAGGCATGCTGCACCAACGACTTGGACTCTGACAAGTCTTAACAAAACCTGGCCAAAATTCCAGAACCCTGCTGTGTGTTTGTTTAACAGTGTTTTCACAGTCACCAATTGAATAACGAATCATGTCTCAGGTCAGTTGTTTTCTTTGATACCTGTATTGAACGAACTGCCATGGCCTGAGGGCTTCACGGGAAGTGATGTGTTTGTGAAGCTCCTGATGCTGCAGTGTAGGAGGTTGGACTCAGTGCTGTTTGTCTTGAGATCTTCTTTGCCGCCTCCTGTCAGTGAGTCACAGCACACCTCATCCTTCCACGGTAGATTGACGACACCTGCCTGGAGAGAGACACCGTCCCGTAGCTCCAAACACCACACACCTACTGACAGGGAGGCAAACAGGTCACCTTAGTCACCTGTGTCACCACACCTACTGACAGGGAGGCAAACAGGCTGAAATCAGACTGAAAGACAAATCAATGGGGATTCTGTTTTTTAGCCATACTTTTAAACTTGTGTAAGTTGATCTTAGAAATTTAAAAAACAAAATCAAATATCTAAGATAAAAACATTTTAACTATTTGGTTGTTAATTAGATTTCAATTAATAATTAAGAAATATGTCAGATTTTTTTCCTTCTAAGTCAAATTTCCTTATTTATTTATACATAAATAAACAAAAATATACAGTATATATGTGTATCCATATATATGTATGTATGTATATATGTAATATGAAGAAAAAAAATGATAGAAAAAAAAGAAACATAATATTGTAATGGGTTCCTAAAAGATTAGACACTCAGTCAATGTCAGTCAATGATGTGAGAACAACAAGTACTTTATTAATTATTACTGGAGATCAGCCATTCAATGACTGCAGAACATTGTGTAAAGACTGGAAATAAAACCACATCACTAATGTCAAAAAATGAAAATGAAAATCTGTCCTTCAATTCTAAAACAATTAATGATCGATCTCACCGTTGGTTGCCAGGAAAATGTGCCCCAGTATCATCAACATAGGAAAGGAAACCCTGTGGAGAGAGAGATGGAATAAATAATGACACATAAGAGAGAACATCAGATCAGGATGAGGTGAAGTCCACTGAAAATAACTTTGGCACAACGGTGGTAGGTAGACATTCTCTATGAGACAGTGACTGATACAGTGGAAGAACAGCCTCTGTTTACACTCAGTGATGTATAACTGAGGTTGGAAACGCCCAAGAGACCTTGTACGTCATTTATCAGATAAAACGAGCTGCTCTAATTAAGATGACGGTGACAGATTTGTAAAAGAAAATAATAATAAAAAAAACAAAGAGATGCTTTTAATTTTAAAAACAAATATATTAAATAAACTTGCCTAAAAATGATACAGTTAAAAATTACAACTATTGTAGACTAGGAACCAAATCGTAGACTAAGTGACAACAACATAATGTTTGTTTTAAGTATTTGAGGATCATTATTATAATTATTGTTTACTACTTCACATAATGAGCTTAAAAATTATACAAATGTTTTTAACACTAAAATTGGTAACTAATAAACACAAAACATAGGGCGACTCCCAGTGAGCAAGAAATTGAGTAAAATAAACCAGTATGAAGACTTACATTGCTGCGGTTATAGTGTCAGCATGCTGACCTCGCTGGGCAGAGGCTGGGGTCAGACTCACTGAGGGGAGAGAGAAGGGAGACGGAGAAAGATCAAGGTTGAGCCAATCAAACATGGATTACATGGATTTGACACAGTATCACAAAGAGTCTAGAGTTAGCATAGAGCAGGAGAGGAGGGCTAACAGTTAATTAAACAGTCACTGAGACAGGGCGCAAAAAAACGAGCTTCGATCATTCTCCAGGGGAAGATGAGCAGGGGTCTCAAACTCCTGGACCGCGGGAAACTTTCAGCCGGCGAATTTCAGCTGCTGAAGTTTGAGCTGCGTACTTCGTTGAGTGGCAAGAAAGGTTTAATTGTGCACTATTTTCATACATGAACCATCTATTGGACATTTTAAATTCTAAGATTTAGAGCGCACAACAGCCACAACAATTATATAGCTACCAACAGTAGCTTCCCCCAACCCTTGACACTTATTGGCTGACTAAGACAACAGGTTTTGCCTGAACCAGGGCTTTGAAGATCAATTCCGTCTTTTACTGTTAAACTTAAATGTCAAACGATTTCCTGTGGGTGCAAAAACAAGGTTTCATAATCACTTTTGTTCGTAATATATAACAGATAAAGAGGATTCTGACTCATTTTGACTCTGCCTATCGCATCCAAACCAAAGTTATATTAAATCTACGGACAGAATAAAACAACACTGCATATAGACTTAAATTTCGAAGTAGTGTGTTTCCTTTACTATGAAAAAAAAAAAAAAGATTACCAATAAACAAATGCCATATGGAAATAGCACAGCACAATGCGTGTGTTATTAGACACTCACAGGACAGCTGTCACAACAGGAGACATACAATCTGACAGATGTAAGACACACTGTATACTATCACACAATAACATTGGAATAAAAAAGACTGTTTCAGAGAGACAGGGTGTAAGGTAACACAACAGGAATCTCATTAAGTGACGGTTGGCAAGGTCTCACCAACCAGAGCTGGTCAACAGCTGCAACATCTGACCTGTTTGTAATTACTGCTAAAATGATGGGTTTTAAAATGAGGATTACCTTCTTACAGAAACAACTAAGATATATAGTTGTTTATATATATATATATATATATATATATATATAAAACCTGTTTACTGTATGTATTTAATCATTCATTCATCTTCTACATTGTGTAATGTAGGGACCATGAACAGAGATAAGTCTTCAGACTCTCTTTTACACATGGTTAGTTCTGGACCTCCAGGTCAACTAAGCCCTGATTTGCATGTCTTTGGACAAAAATAATGGTATAAAATCCTGCATGAGTTCCTTTAAAACACATGTGTGAAACTCAAGGCCCGGGGGCGAAATGTAGCCCGCCAAGTTTTTGTATGGACAGGAGCTCAAAAAGCATTTAATAAGGTCCATGCAGAAACTGCAACCTTTGCTAAACAACTTGTGTTGTGTCTCCTCAGTATCTGAGACGATGGACATTTAGATGCTCAGTATTTTTTCTTTTGAAAAAATCATCATGACTCATTTGAGAATCACCATCGTTGATTCATCTGAGTCCTATATTAACTGCTGCTAATGCTGCTGCTGATGTTGCTGCTATAGCCGTCGTCTCCTTCTTTACCCTGGAAAGAATTACCCACCGCTAAGACAACAGTCTCAAGTCTTCCACATTCATGGGAAGCTCTTTTCTCAGGACTCCACCTCATATTCATCCTGGTTCCTGTTCTGACTCACTCCTCTGCCTCTGTATGGAGCAGAAGTGTGTGTCTGTGTGTGAGAGCGCACAGCATGCTGGGACTTGTTGCTTCATCAAAAAGTTATGTTTCTTCTCTCAGGGTAGAGCGTGTAAATCTGCCCACGTTACACTAAGTTGGCTGATGCAGTCCACTGTCAAACATGGGCAGTGGGTTGCATCACAACATGTCCACACAACAGCCAACAGTGGTCTGACATAATCAGAAGTACACGACTTTACCCCCCTTGTGGGGCATTTGGGTAATGCTCTGCCATGTAGGAGACCCAGACACTCTCACATATTTGCCATTTAATTACTGAGGTCCACTTTAGGTTCACATCCAAATATTTGGGCCAGATAAGAGCAGAGTTAGTAGTCCACCATCTCTTATAAAGTCTAACAGCCTACTGTCTGAACTATTGCTAATAATTAGCTGCAAAGAACAGTGTCGACTTCAAATGTTTAAATGTGTAAATTCAGAGTCATATCGACTGATATAAAGTGGATACGTAACCACAGCAACTGAAACTGTTGTAAAGAAAATTGAGAAAGAGCAAATAATCGTTTTAGGTCACTTTCTTAATACAACATATAACATATCGTTATCAGTTTTGCACGTTATTTTCTTTTTAAACGTTTTGTCGGTAAAAGTAAGTAGAAATTACATGTTTGTGATGCAAGCGAACGATTAAAAGCAAAGCATACAAACAAACAAACAAAAACACAGGAAGTCTAAATATAAACAAACACACAGTCAGTGTTAGCGAAGAAACGCTAACGTGATAATGAATGGAATAAAAAAAAAGTCCTTACATTGTCAAGGTCTCTCCTTTGGTTTGACTTCACTCCTGGTGCGGCGAGTCTAATTCCTCACCAGAGTTTCTGAAGAATTCATATCTGATGCTCCTGAAGAAGGAGACCCCAGAGAAAACGTTTATTTCTGTCTCTTTTCCCTCTCACACAGACATTCACTCACACGAGCTGCAGCCGCGATAGAAGCGACAACAGCGGTATTTCACTGTCTGCACCGGCAAAGCTCAGCTGAGTGTCTGAGCTCAGACTCACAGAGTAGACTGGGAAGAGGAGGAGACCAATGAGAAGGAGGAGGGGAAAAGGTGCCAACAGACATTACCTCAGCCAATCAGGTGTGATGCGTTCAGGTACAGCACAAAAAAATAATAATAATAAAAGTAAAATAATGAAAATTGGTTCCGAATTTAAAAAAGGAAAGGCTAAAAAACATAAAAGAAAAAACAAAGAAAGAAAAAAGAAAGAAGACACACAAGTTAAGAAAAAAGAAGAGATTTGAGATTTTAAAAAACTTTACTGACAGTTGATGTAAAAAAAAGTTAAAAAAAAAAGGGAGGAAGAAAGGAATTAAGGAAGAGCTGAAGGGAGGAAGTAGAAAAAGAAGAAAAGACAAGAGGGAGGAAGGAATGATGGAGTTTTTCAAATTGGCAGAGGAAGTAAGGAAGAAACGCAAAAGGAGGAATAAAAGGAAGGGAGGACGGCAGGAAAACATAAAGGAGCAAAGCGAGGAAAACATAAGAAGAAAGAAATGAGGAAGAGGTGAAAGAAATCAATCACGCACATCGATATTGTGCCATTCAGCTGCATGTATTTCATCCGAAACCCAACATATAAAGTATAAATAAAGTGTGTTCAGTTTATATGAGAACATGTATATTTAATGTTTTCAATGAAGATAAATCACTTGAGTCTGGCCATTTGAATGCTAGCTCCCACGCCAACAAAGTTTGACAGTGGCTCACAGTGCTGCTCACCACATTCACCAAGTGTTCATTATTGATAAGGCTAACTATTTACTGTAAGTACTGTAGCGTTCTATTAAACGGTATTTTACTCTAGAAGATTAACTTCTAGAGAAAACACCTCTACCCCCCACCTCACCCCCAGTCTCAGAAACAGCGTGGAACATGAACCAATGAATTGGAAACATTGCAGCATTCTACCAATGTAGCAAAACCTTTATCCTTATTGCCAAACACAAAAGTGCAACGAATGTCATTATACGTGGTATATGTATGTATTTGCGTGACGTGCGGTCAGGAGAGGCAGCCATCATGATTAAAAAGAAAAAAGTACATAAGTACATAAAATAAATATTCATATTTTCCACTGATCTGTGTTAAAGATGCTTTTTCAGTATGACATTTTTGACATTTTATCAAGTAAAAATCGCCGAATCTGAGTATTTCTTGCCTTTTATTCTCATTGTGTGATAACATCTCGACTAACTCGGCCTGACCTGAAACATTAGCAAAGAAGCCTCAGCAGACATGAAAGATCAGCCACGTACATTCAAAGCCAGATTTCTTTAAAAACATTTGGAAATTCAAGGATCGATTTGGCATTGGATAAGCAACGGAGACTAAAGGTAAGGCTAAAAAGTAATATGTTCTTGTGTATATGTTTGTGTTGGTGTCAGTGTCAATAAAAGAGGAATGCTGATGGAATATGAACCATTACCAGGTGCATGCTGTTGGATGAATAGTCAAATAAGATGCTCTTTTCGGTTCTTACAATTGTAAATTTGACTCCAGAGGAGTCAGTGCCTCACCAGACATGAACCTCACCGCACGTCACTAATAGACACATCTGCAAGGCTATTGACTCTAAAAACAAGTTTCTTAAGTGTTGAACATTACTTATGCATGAGTTCTGTGTCAGCCCCAAGCCTCAGGTGACTCTCACCTGTTTGTGAACCTCTATTTTGATGATTATTAGCCTGTTAAAAAAAAAAAGAGAGAAAAAGTCTTCATCCAGACAAGAATACACAGCTGCCATTAAGGCATTCTACTTTTCCATATTTCAACAGATAGTCCAGTAAAAGATCTGTTGCATGATGAATGGAAAACAAGCACCGTGTACGTGTCCCTCTTATTTACATAGTAATGGTTTGTGAAATAAAGTCCGAGCTTTGCGGCGCCCAGCGAATGTCAAAAAGAAAAGTGCGTTATTTTTATACATCAGAGTTTCCCCCAAACGTTTAATTTCCAGGGTGAAAAAACAAAACCCTCTCTATGTCGGCACAGCGGCCTTGTGTCCAATCACATTACAGCATTAGGATGTAAATGTTAAACATTGAGGTGAATCTAAAGAGAGTTGACAGAGTCCTGGAAAACCAGTGTGTGTGTCAATGGAAAAGAAAAAAGTATCATTCGTACAGCCACAGACACAGCTGACATTTATGGATACAGGAATAAATCACACGGAGCTCATGTTTGCCCAACGCTTATCATCTGTGCCCCACATGTTAACACATTCATTTGTGTTTTCCATGTAAACAGGAGTAAATATGTGTACTGTAACGGTTTGTCTATTTCTATGTAAAAGATGGAATTAAGGTGATATGAAAATCAACTCAAACTCAAAATGTCAAACTATATTTACATAAATAGCAGCTAGGTTTCTCCAATCTCCATTGAAATCTAAACAAATTTGCAGGTGGTGTTTCCATCAAAGAATTCCTTGTTTGTAGGATTCTGACCGATTCCTTTTTTTTTTCCACCAGGTCACAACCTGCTTTTTCACCTCAACAGAAGACTGAAATTACAGTTACTTTTGAACGATCTTTACGTTTTGGGAAAGAACAAATTCATTTAGCTATAGATCTAAATGCGAGGCAAAGCTTTAAAGATTTCAAAAAGTTGCCATTCGAGTTTGGTTTTAAAAAAAATGTTTGCTCCGATTTTGAAATTGTTCTCACTGTGGAAGGTTGAAAAACTTGATGAAATAAGACCTCACTCAATGTTTGTCAAAGATATAATGATAAAACAACTGAGAGATGTTTCTTATAGTATTTTAATTTGTATTACATAAGTCATCTAAACAGAATTAATAGTTTGCCTTCTTAAAATGAAATATTTGTTTGCCACATCCTTTGGTCTTTTTGAACCACTTGCTCTCTATCCCTTCCACGACAATGACAGCATTGTGTGACAGAGATAACCTTATCACATTATCACAACAGTAAATCATTGGCCGTTCAGCCCTTTGTTTCTGACAGTTGCAGATAGAACTGTTGTATTAAAAATTCTAAATTAAGAGTTAGGTAACAAGGCTAAGTTATTCTTCTGTCACAAATCACTGTATGTTAACATGTGGTGTCCCGCAGGATTCAATTCTAGGACCAACGTTGTTTGAATTAAACTAATATTATATAATTTGTTTTTAAAAAAATCCAAATGCCAAAAACAAAAAGAGACAAAGGAAAACACCAAATACAGAAGTCAAAGGCAGTAGATATACACTCAAACTTCTGAGTCGAATAGACAAAAGTAAGATTCAACCTTCAACTTTAGCAAAGTTTTACTTTTCCTCCTCCAACACACCAAACATCAGCACACTGCATAGTTGTGCCATGAGTCTTTTTTGTTTTGCCTTTATACGCTGATGACACCGCAGCAGACAAGTCATTCAACCCAACAAACAATTTCACTGCTGACACAACTATTGTAGGCACATCAAAAGAAACAGAACACGAATCACTTTTCAATGTTGAGATACAGTCAGCACAGTTTTAGTCACTGAATTACCAAATAAGCACTGAACACCAGAGATAATCTCTAAAGCAATTTAATGTAGGCAACTGGACTCATCTCAAGTAAGTTATTGATCAATCTGTTAATCGATAGACAGATAGATAGATAGACAGATAGATAAATAGGTAGATAAAGGTGCTGCTACTGCTGCTGCAAGCAGATCAAACGGGCGACAGCAAAAACAAGAGTGAATTAAAAATATCGGATTCATTTGCAATTTAATTATAATTAATAATTATATAATTATCTATATTATAGATATTCATTTTGCATCGTTCATTCAGCCACCTACGGAAACTTTACCAGCGCAACCGTCACTCTGAGAGACTACTTTTGGAATTATAACCATTTTGTGGAATGTGTGAAGAGCTGTCAGGAGTTCATAATAAAATGATTAAGAAAATGATGTGTCATTGTTTTGGTTTTTTTGTATTTTGCTGGAGATAGAACATTTGTTCCCACATGGATTTTGCTCCTGTGTGTCATTATAGTGCTACTTCACCCCGCAACTAGAACTGAGTAATCTCCTTTTCTCAGAATTATTTAGTTATCTGTAATCCTTCTTTAATGTTAGCTAATGCAATGTGGGAAAAGAGTAGCTCAGACAGTTATCTATCAGATATCAATGTGAAGTGCAGACAAGGTGCAGAGTTTGCGAGGTTAATGTAGCACAGCCAACTGAACAGAAAGTGAGCAGAGCTTTTAAACCAATTGTGTATCTCAAACGAAGTCACTGTCTCCTGCTAATCAGCACTGGAACTGTGTAGCAATATTTCTGCGTCACAATAAACAAAAAAATGACTTGGTGAGGAATACATAGCTCGGCCATTCGCCGTGTTGTTACACCAAGAGGAAACATTACCTTATTCAACACTAGGGTGAGGTATAAGTTTTTTTTTTTTAATTTTTCATGGCTTGTATCGCAAGAGAACAAAATGTACCCCAAGTCTTGCTCCTGTCTTTGTCCCTGATGTTAAAATTCCTCCCAACTGCTGACATTGTTGACCTGCTTAGATGAACTACCATGAGGACAATGACACTGAACTGCGGCAGGAAAACACCCAGCATCATCTGACCGCTGTCCGGCTGGTTGTAGTGAAAAACCGTGGAGGAACAGCCGGTAAATGGATTGGCATGTATTTTTGAGTATGAGTATTTGAATAAAGTACTGCGTGCACCTCTAGTTTACCTAGAACCTTAAGCAGGGAAACACTCTGAGCAGCTGCTTCTATACTGTGCATCAAAACAAAGGGATGACATCGTTCTCTGTGATGACTTCATCCATGGTACAACCCTGAATGCGAGGATGACATCATCCTCCTTCTGCATCAAACCCACGAAGAAAGTTTTCTGGTTAGAGAGTATAAAAGTGGTGATGTTCACTGATGTGCGTGTGTGTGTGTGTCCTGTAATTTTGTCCACTGTTTTGTTGTTTTGTTGTATTCATTTTTTAGACCTAATTTTGAATTCAAAATAACATCAAAGACCTAAATTGCAGTCCGGTCAAATTCAGTTATAACTTGTCAGGGGTCAGGAATAGCAATATTGGTATGTGGATGTACATTGATGTATTAGTGGAAGTGTATATTTTTATTTTAGTGATCCAATTTACAGT